CCCCGTGTGGCAGGGGCCTTAGTTGTTTAACTACATTTATACCGCTGCCTTTCTACTCCTTGTGCCCCAGCTTCTCTTTTACTTAATGATGGTGATGGGAAAGTACTGTCAAGTCCCAGCTGACTTATGGTGACCCCGTGGGGGTTTTCAAGGCAAGAGATGTTCAGATGTGGTTTGCCATTGCCTGCCTCCGCATCACACATACTTAATTCCTCACTTTAAATGATTAGTTTAAAACTGAGCTATGTGTTTTCTTACACTCAGATGAGCAAAAAGATAAATAATGTATTTAAGTGATCCTATGGAGGATTTCTTTTAAAGATCTTGATTCTGTTCAAGACATGGAAGTAGTGCAGTTGTTTGAACAATGCATGCATAAGAGCTGCTTTTAGCAGCAATGAAATTACATTTTGGCATTGTGACTTGTGATTTTTTCAAATCTTTCAAATCCGAAATGTGCATGGCTTTATCATGTGAAATAACAGATTGTATTTCTTTGTAGGAAACTGCTGGTGAGGAAGGCATAGACATAATTATAGAAATGTTGGCTAATGTTAACCTTGCCAATGACTTGCTGCTTTTGGCAAAAGGAGGAAGGGTAATGGTAAGTAGTCATTTCAGCTCCTTCATAAGAAGCTTAATGCAAAATATGCAGTTGTCAATATCTCACTTTTCTCCAATCAATTTCATGTCAGATTGTGGGAAGCAGAGGTCCCATTGAGATTAACCCTAGAGATACTATGTTGAAAGAATCAAGCATCAGAGGAATTTCTTTATTTGCTGCATCAAAGGTAAAATAAATCATGCAATATTTTACAGAAATCATTTAGATAAGCCAGCAAGATGCTGAACTGCAGGCTGTGAAAGGTCGGTAGTTCAGCAGTTCGAGACCCGAGTTGCTGCATGACGGAGTGAGCTCCCGTCTCTAGTTCCAGCTCCTGCCAACCTAGCAGTTCGAAAGCAAGAAATTGCAAGTAGATAAATAGGTACCACTTCGGTGGGAAGGTAACAGCGTTCCGTGCGCCTTGGTGTTTAGTCATGCCGGCCACATGACCACGGAAACGTCTTCGGACAGCGCTGGCTCTTCGGCTTTGAAACGGAGAGTCGGAAACCCTAGAGTCAGATTCGACTGGCTTTCGAGCAAGGGAACCTTTACCTAGAGATATGAGCTGTTTCTAATTCCAAACTATGTGACCTTCTAAAAGTTCCTTTAATTCCCTTAACTCTGTTCCATCCTGCATTTAGTATTTTCACATTCTAGGAACTTTATGTAAGCTCTTGGGAGCTATTTACTCCCAGGCCAGAGGTTTTGGATGGCGAGCAAAATAATGTTACAATAGGATAAGTCTTTCAAGATTTGATCTTACAATTTGATGTGGCAAATGTTCTTTTGGCATTTCAATGCTATGTAACCATTCCTCCCATACATGACATATATAGATGCAGAAAATTTTAAATACATTCTTTTCTTCCAGAAAGGTCCAAGAATTAAATCTCTAGCGTTGGATCCAGTCTAAATTGGCCATTTCCATTGATCCCCACCCCCTTTCTACTGCTGCAGACCCTGCTTATGTCATTCCGCAGTGTCCCCCATCCCCTAGGAGCAGCATTTAATGGGATTGGGGAGGGAGGCATAAAGGTTTGGTTCTGCTGATGGAAAATTTAGACGGGATCTGACCTCTGGAGAATGGAAGATTGCTTTCCTGAAAACTGATGTATAATTGCAAATGTTATCTTCCCTGTTTAGGACCAGCTGGGTGAATGTGCAGCCTTGGTCCTTGCAGGTATAGAAGCTGGCTGGCTGAAACCAGCAGTAGGCCCTGAATATCCATTGGAGAAGGTGACAGAGGCGCACAGAGATATCATCCACAGCCAAGGTGCTTTGGGAAAGATGTTGCTTCTTATTCATTAAGTACCTATGCACTCATAGGGAACAATGATCACAATGTTCTTGGAAAACTTTGCAAATTATGATTATGAGACATAAGATACAACAGTTGCAATAGAGTCTGATTTGAACACTGTATATCAGATTTATAAAGATTAGTTATTAATGACTGGTTGGCCTGTCCTAGAAAATGCATTTTTTTTAATGGAGACTATAAAAGATGTCCTTTGTGCTGCATTCACATGGTACTGCTGTAGGGACCCTCTCTTGATGTGTTTGCTGAGGACAGAATTGTATCTAAAATCCCTGTTCATTCAAAATAAAGATATATGCATGATGAAGTAAACAGTTTATAGGCTGTTTTTTAAAAATTTTGTACAATGAGTTCATTAGTAAGGTACCTGATCTGTTAGTGAACCATTTCTGCTGCAGGAGTGAATATTTATTTGACCAAATATAATTTAATGTCCTTATTGGTTTTGCACAAGGTGTAGGCGTATGTGTGATATAAGCAGTACATTATCAGTACTCACATTCACCCAACTCGTGTGGCCTTCTCCCTCCAAAACTCAGGCATATTCTTCCAAAATATCTATTCAAGGCTTTCAGTTTTCGTTTCAGTGATACCCTGTTTTGAGAAAGTGGTTCCTACTTGAAAAAGCCTTGCCAGGTGAAATGTGGAACAACATTGCTAGCATTCCTGTAGAAGGACTTAATCGGGACTGCCGTCTTTGGATATCAGTGTATTGGCTCGGTTGTCTAGTTTCAATTTGGAACGTGGCTTCTGTTTCTGAAAATTGAAGACACTCGAGCACCTTCAACAGTGTGACTTATGAGCCTTGGACTGTGGGAATGTTTGAGTTCTTGTCCTATGATTTTAGAATTTGAATTTTTATATTGTTGGTATATTAATAGCTTTGGAATTTGTATTATGAATTGTGTATATGATATAAACTTAATTTTCATAGAATAGTTTGAGTCGTTTAATTATCTTTGTTTAGATAAAACCAGGTGTTTTTTACATGCAGTTGTTTTGCTGGTCCCAAATTTACCTGGGCTGGTGGGGGCCCCCAGATGGGCAGTGCAGTCCCCACCCAAGAGCGGGTAAGGAAGGCCTGGGCTGGCCACAGCACAGAGAAAGTTGGCTGGGATGGTCCCCATGCTGGCCACATCCTCCATGCACACAGAGAGGAGGGCAAGGCTCTGCTGCTGAGCCACACCCACAGGTAATCCTACAGATGAGGTCAGCAGCATCCCCAGCCCTCTTAGGGAAGCTGGGCCAGAGCAGAGGTCCTGTAAAGTAGCAGAGGAGGAAGGAGAACAGGAAAGGAAGATCTGAGCAAGGAACCCAGCCACCTCTGTAGTCCACACCTAGCAGGACCATGTCCTTTCCACGAGGGTTTAAACAAGCCCAGGGCTGCCCCACTCACAGGAAATCCTTTAAAAGGCAGAAAGCAGAGAAGCCAAGGAGGATGGGCCAGATCTCTACCCTGAAGTCAGAGGGGAGGTGTGGAGCAAGGGAGAGGGCAACACTAGGGTGAGACAGAACGTTCCTTCCCCCAGAACAACTGAGGCTTTGACTGCAGTCTGCTGCTAAAGAACGCTGGAGGGCACAGCGGCCACAGGCTGCTTTGGGAGAGAGAGCCTGACAAGCATGTTGTTCCACTTTATCATGTTAATACCACATCGCCAGGGAACCCACAATTTACATATTTTTGCTGGGGAAATGGCTGAAAAATGTACATGGAAAACTTCTTTGGGGGGGTGAGATCTAGACTTTCCGTTTTCCTTTCCTCCATCATACTTTTACAAAAGACTGATAAATGTAGCGGTACATCAAATTGGCCAAGCAGAGCTGGGTCCTTTCCTGGAATGTCTGAGTCTTTTAAAGGACATGTATCAATTAATACAGGTGTACATTCGTGTATGATGAGACACAGGTATGTTTTGTTCTTTAATGTATTTACCGAAATTTAAAATTTAAAGTAAGAAGAGCATGACTGTGTGCCGGAAGGGGAAAACAAAAAAGGAGTAGCCCAGGCCAGGGAGCTCATACATCCACTGGCTCGAGGCACAATTCTCTTGTATGTGTCATTGTTTTGTTTTGTTTGTTTTTTAAATTAAATTATAAACCCTTTGAGTAGGTAATGGAAAGGCTATATATAAATACTCTCACATGAGGCTGAAGCTCAGTTTATTAGTCCAGATGAATGTTTACAATTGTATGATCCTTTGTCTTGTGTTCTCCATGAGAAGCATGTAAATTGGTACTAAGGCAGCAGGAAGTATGAGCTAAAATCTTGTCATCCATTGGCATCATTCCCTAGGCAGATGACCACCAGCAGTTCAAACCACTCTTACAAGTGACCCTGTAAGACGTAAGACAAATCAGAAGCTGCTATTGCCTGAGTCTCAGTAGAAGAACTAACTGTGGGAGCAAACATGGTTTTACCCATTTTAATTTACAATGGGGCTTTCTGAAAGATTAAGGCCATGTTATGTTTTCACAGGTATGTGTAACCCTATCAGTTGAGGTTATAGTCTGTCTTTGTCCAAGGGCTGCATTTGGCTTACTGCCTGCCTCCAAGTAGCCTAAGCTTAATTGGGCAGAAGATGCTAATTAGGAAGCTAGAACACAAATTAAAACTGCAGACATTCCTTTGAACCCATATCAGTGTAATTAACAGCAGGTCTTCCTGTGACAGATGGCTTGTTGTCTGTTGTATTCTCACTTGATGCAGAGCAGCAACATTTTTAGTGGGACTACTACAAAGCTTACTACATTTAGGGCTCAAAGGGAGCATGTGAAGAAAGTAGTACCATTCTGTTTCAAGTCAGTGTCTGTCTAATTAGCAAAAGGATTGACGTCAGAAACAGTAAGCTTAGAAGTATGTCAATACTATACATGTATTGATCTGACTTTCCTGCTCAGTGTCACTGAAGGTGATTGTGTTACTCGATTGCTTGGTTCATCAAAGGGTATTGAAAGCATAATTGAACATTGGTGTGAAAAGTGGAATTTTAGAGGAGTAGAGCCTTCAGATTATTGACATGCCTTGTGTTGGTAACACAGAGCACTACAGATGGACAGAGATTCCTGATGAAGGGCAGAGTAGCAGGTGTACTGGGCTTGGGATGGACATTATTAGCTTCCTTCTACATAGCGGAAAAGTTATCTATGTAGAGATGCCATGCTAACCATAAGGTGGAAGAGAATACAGCTGGCCATGCTATAGACAGAATTCCCCATTATGAGGGCCACCAGAGTATGGCCTCCATGTGTTCTTAAATGGCCATTTAAGCGGACTGTTTCTGTCATTGCAACACTTGGTCCTTTCCGCACTAGACCTTAAATCCTGGTTCAACCCTGTCCCCGAACTTACATTCTACACTAAACGCAAGTTCACCCTTGTAATTATCTCAGGGCATTTTTTGTTTCCACATTACATTGAGGTAACCCCACTTTTGCCCCACACTTGTCCCGGGATAAACAGATGCTGTTATAACCAGGGATAAATGCAAGGTCCCGAGTTGAACTCTAATAAAACCAGGGATGAGATCCAAATGTGGAAAGGACCACTGTGGGATCGATCTAGAGGCTTTGCTCTGGTAATGATGGAGAATTCCATCATCAGAGGAAGAGTCCTGTCTTAGCGGAACAGACCCTTTGAATCAAATGTTATGGCCGAGTTCAGACTGGCAGTTTGGCCTGGCAGCCAAGCATTTCAGGAGCGGACTAAAGGGACGGGTTCACACAGGTACATCTTTCAGGTGTCCCCCAGCCATACTCAAGCTGTCTTGTGCCGCTTCCCTCCCGAGTTTTAAAAGTACCTGGTGGAAGTGGTAGCAAACCGTGTGTAGAGTGAGTTGATTCCGGTTCCCTGACGTGTGAATGCAAGCGCTGCTAAGGCGGGAACAACCTGCAGTCGTTGATAATAGGCACTGGCTGTTTCCGCGGCAGGCGCCCATGTGCATAGGTGCATGCAGCGGAGTGCAGAAACAGCCGCTAACAGCCCGCCAGGGACAGGCCAACAGTGTGAACGCTCCCTTGCGCTTCCTCCATGATATCCTCCCGCTTCATTCGCTGCAGTGTGAATGGGAATAAAGCCGTTCTGGGTCTTCTTTGCCACGACTCCCTAGCACTTCAAATTGCCAGTCTGAACTCGGCCTATATTTGTTAGAACCTGCAGTAAGTGGCTGCTGTGTCTGACATATACTAGGTTTTGTTTTAAAAAACCCAACATCCTTCCTCTGTGCCATGTGGTATCAAAGCTACAGAAGTCCCCTTTGGTTAAGAGTTTGCAAATGTATGCACAATAATTTCTAGGGCAATAAAATCACACATTTTGTGATCAAACTAAAGGCTTCCACAGGAAAATATTGAGCGATGGGGATGCATAGTGGAAAGAACTCTGGCCAAGCAGAGAGGGATATGTCAGAGTGCGGGAGATTAAAAGATAACTGAATTAGCTTCCAGAAGATATTTGATCACGTGCCCTTTATTTGGTATTTTCCCTCTTCCCTTCTCCTCCCCTCCACACACCAATTTTGTCCTGATAATTCTTTGTTTCCCTCCTCCTCTGGCTTACTCCGTGGTGCTTCCCATGCTCTTGTGGTGTCTCTAGGAATACCAGTAGGTATCCATTTCGCCCTTCTGCGTGAGCATGCTGTCTGTCTCTGGTCTTTTGCTTTTACTTGGGATGTGTTTCTGTTTTGTGGGCTTCTTCACGTGGCTTGTAGTTTACATTTAAGAAGGAATACAATTTTCAGAAAACATGGTTAACCTTGAATGTTCACACTGGGATGTTTTGGAGGGGAAGCCTAGGTTCTCTTGGTTCTTTTGCAGTACTTTAATGTTTGTACTTCTTTACTGAAGCACTTTTCTGCTATATTTGGCAGTGTCATTTAGGCTGTGGTTTTTTTATGAAACTTCATTGTAACATCTATGTATTCACATTTTTCTTTTTACTGAAAGTACAATTTGAAGGACACCACTGTGTAAAAAAGAAAAGTTAACTCTTGAGAAGTGTGCATAGGTGCAACTTTCAACCCACATGTTAGTAATATAATAAACCACTGATTTCCTCCTGCTGTTTTCTATTTTGGAGCTTCTCTGTGGTGCTACAGTTACAATGGGAGTGTTTATTTGTTAACTTTTCACCAGAAGGTGTCCTACTAGTCCCTGTTTTTAATGTAGTTCTTATCTGCAGTGATGAGATGCATCACACTTTTTCCCAGTGATGGAAGGGAGAAATAATCATAACAGCATTTGCCAAAATACAATTTCACACTTTATACTTGCGACACACATGGAATATTACCTGAAGGGAGCTGAAGATCTGCAGACTGTTATTCCTTTTAATGTTGTTTAAACATCTGTTTGATTATGTTTTGTTTACCATAAACATAATAATAATAGTAAAAAACCCTTTCCCTTCACAGAGAAGAATAAAAATGTGTTTGAAATGCCTACAAGCTTCTTGGTGAACTATACAAAGATGGCAAACTGATCACAAATCTATAAATGCACTAGGTACTGGAAGTGGTGTGTTGTAAGATATCAGGTCTAGGAAGAACTGAATTTTTATACTATAATAAAATCTTCACAGCTTAGAGAATTAGTTAGTGCTGAAGTAGGAAGGAGGGTGCTTTTATATATTGGTCCCCTGCAAGAGATAAGTATCATGGTATGGCTTAAAGGCTGCTCACTGACATTTATGAAGCGCTGTATATTATGCTGTATGATTAGATTACTGTACTAGTGCTGAAATAAGCAAGGTAACAGAATCAAGTTCTATGATAAAACTTGCAGTTCAGAAATTAGTTAAGCCATGTGAGCCCTGACCTGGATAGCCCGGGCAAGCTTGAGCTCGTCTGATCTTGGAAGCTAAGTAGGGCCAACCCTAGCAAGTACTTGGAAGGGTGACTTCCAAGGAATACCAGGGCCGGGACACAGAGGCATGTAATATCTAGCCACCTCTCTGAAACATCTTAGCCCCACTAGGGGTCGCCAGAAGTCACCATGACTTCCAGGCTGGCAAGCACATACACATGCACACACAGAAGGGGGGGGGGGGGGAACTAGTTAAGCCATGTGCACATTCACTTCTGTTTCCAAACCCATAGTGTTTATAAATTCACAGCTTAACTATGTGCTATGAAAGTAGTAAACACTGTAGTCTTGTTTTGTATGTTTGCTAAATATTGTAGGCTTCAACCAGCTGCACTTGCCTTGGTCTTTTTAGCTAACCATAACACTGAAGGAGTGTTTTCAGACATAAGAATTGCAGATTTTCTTTTCTTTTTTTTTGCTACATAAGAATCTAATACACTTTTGTTTGCCATATTGCATACAAGGCACAGTGCTTACACAATACACCAGCATAGTGAATTCTGCAATGGGCTGTTCTTGTGCAATGGGCTGTTCTTGACAGGCAGAAGCACCTGGGATCCATTCTTTCCCCCCTCTCCCTTCCCTTCGCCTCCAAGTCGGGCGAAGGAAAAGGGGAGGGGGAGGATCTCAGGCGCTTCTTCCTGACAGAGGTGCTGGCGTGCCCACAGCCAGCCTGGGTGAATGACAGAATCATAGACTCATAGAGTGGGAAGGGACCTCCAGGGTCATCTAGTCCAACCCCCTGCACAATGTAGGAAATTCACCAATACCCTCCACACACCCCAGTGACTCCTGTTCCACGCCCAGAATATGATTTTAAAAACCTCCAGGATCACTGGTGGCCAAACTGGCCTGGAGAAAAATTGCTCCCTGGCCCCAAAATGGCAATCAGCATTTCCCTGGGCATGTAAGAAAGGGCCACAAGAACTAAGCACTGATGCAACGCTTCCTGCTCTACCTCTCGTGATTTGCCTAAATTCACACAATCAGCATTATGATCCTTTTAAAGTTGAAAGCATGATATAAATGCAAAGGACTATTTGTAAGATTATCTGTAAGACACAAGACCAGGACGCATCTCCCTTCTGGCAATCACTTGGAGAGACCCTATCACTCAGCTTCCATTGCCCCACACACACCCCACACTGGAATAAGAACATAATATCAGGCCATACCACATTGCAATAAAGCCCCTACAACTGTATACAGAAATACTGAGCTTCCCTACCATTTGCCACAACTAGCCCACCACACAACCAGGATCAAGACTCCTAAGTGGACCAACAGACAGGCATACACTCATTTGAGAAACTGAGTATTACATTACAACACCTCTGGAACATTACAGATCAGTAGAGGCAGCACTGCACAGTGGTCAGAGTTGCAGACTGACGTGGGGAGACCCAGATTTGTATTCTCACTCTGCTGGCTGAGTGACCCCGGGCCAAATCTCCCCTTCTCTACCTAACCTACCCCACAGGGTTGTTGTGAGGATGAAATGGAGACTCATGGGCAGGGTCCCCAGCTTCCCTGGCAGGAACACCATGTTAAGAAATCTCTCACAATTATGCAGCCATAGCAGGCAGGAGGGAAGGAGGCGAATACCTCCAGCGCCAGAGACTAGTAGAGGAAGAGTGAAACTTTGGGGACGCACCCGTGCACCAGAGGTCGTTAAAGGAGTGCGGAGGCCAGACTCACAAATGAGAAAAAGCAAGCTCAGGGTTCGTGGGTCGCATTTTGGGCTGCGGAAGAGGAACCGTCTCCATTCCTGGAGTTCTCTCGCGTTCCTGCGCTTTTGGTTTTGCTTTTTGCCAATCCGCCACCCAAGATGGCTCCAGGTGCTCCAGCCTGAGGGCTGCTGGGGGTGAGGCTCGAGTGCTCATTATTTGTGGAGCTGAGGCCCAATTTCTCCAGCTGCTCCGCCACCTTCCCTTCCCTTGGTTTGCTCGGGGAGCCCAAGCAAGCCGGGTGCTGGAGGGAAGGAGAGGCTGTTTAAACCACCTTCCCTTCCCTTGGCTTGCTCAGGATCCCCACGGCTGCGGAGAGCCCGAGCAAGCCGGCTGCTGAAGGAATGTGCATTCGGTTGGTCTGAACCGAATGCACCCCCGAAAATGGCCCATTTGGGCCCCTTTCAGGCTGCTGCTGGCCGAATCAGATTCTCTGATCTGATTTGGCTTCCCGCCGTTCGGCCCCATTATATCCTATGGGTCATTGAAGTCAATGGTGAAAACATAGGGTATATTCTGGGGGCTGGAGGGGAGGGAGTTTGAGGGAGAGGCTCCAAAATCACAGGGTAGCTGCTGGAGCCTCTCCCCAAGATATCTGCCATGTTTCAAGAACATTGAACCAGGGGGTCCAATTCTACGGGCCCCCAAACAGGTTACCCCCATCCCCTCCATTGTTCTCTATTGTTCTCTATGGTGGGAAAAAAGTTGGACTGGGGGAGCCAGAATGGCCTCTTGCATGTGATGTTCGAGCGGTCGCTAGGACATCACACGTGAGAGGTGGAATTTGCCCCTACGAGTCCAAGGCCACCACCCTGGGGCTCAGGGAGGCAAGGGAATGTTTTGCCCCGCCCCTCCCCCCATGCGGGCATCGCAACTGCCGCCGAAAACAGCAACAGCGGCCCGAGAGTTGGGGGAGCCAGAATGGCCTCTCGCGTGTGATGTCTGAGTCACACGGAGAGGTGGAATTTGCCCCTAAGAGTCCAAGGCCACACCCCGGTACTCAGGGAGGCAAGGGAACGTTTCACCCCGCCCCTCCCCCTGTGCGGGCATCGCAGCTGCCGCCGAGAACAGTGACGGCAGCCATAACTTTTTAAAGAGCCCCTCCCAAGAGCTGGGGGAGCCAGAATGGCCTCTCGTGTGTGATGTCCTCTCGCGTGTGATGGCAACACCGCTCGGACATCACACACGAGAGGTGGAATTCGCCCCTACGAGTCCAAGGCCACCACCCTGGGGCTCAGGGAGGCAAGGGAACGTTTCGTCCCACCCCTCCCCCCGCGCTGGCGTCCTGTACATAATACCAAAGGAGTGCTCTATTGTGCACACTGTAAGCGGAAGGGAGGGTGCTGTAAGGATGACCATTTTAACAGTAGAGGATAGTGTCTGCTGTGCCTAATAGCTCAATTGAGCTGGTTGCACATAGATGTTTTGCTATGTTTTCTACCCCATAACTCATGCCACATGCTGTGTGTGTGTGTGTGTGTGTGTCTGCAGGAGTAGGTAAGGGGTGTGCGGGTGCTAGTAATCAGGTGAACTTCACTTACAATTAATAGCCCCTCGTGTCTCGGATGTCCCCAACTGTAAAATTTGCAGCAGAACAAGCAGCCTTGTGAACAGTGCGCTGCTGTGTCAATCAAGCCCGGCTTCTGTAGAAGCGTTTCCAGGCCTGGCAGCCGGCTACTACCGCAAGGGTGGGCTCATTGAGATCTTCTCTCACGCTTCGTGTGATGCTAAAATCCCCCCGTTTCCATACATCACATAAAACATATCTGTCAATTTAGTTGCTAGGTACGGAGCAAACACCCCCCCCCCCTCCGTCAGGGATATTGACTCTTGGATTTTCAAAAGGTAGTTCATAAACAATCTCGTTTGCATTCGTGCGTGTCAGACTGCTTGCTCTGCTTTTCTTTTCTAAACAACTAGTAAACCTTGGCAGGTACACAGCCTTATGCCGAGATCTTAACAGCGGCCGCTATTTCCCTTTTTATCTCTAGAGCTCCCCCGGAGAGCCTGGCTACGGCTCAGACTGGAGCTGCCTGCGTTTTTGTTGCGTCGCTGTCTGTGTCGGGTTACAGGCTCCTGGGGAACCTGCTTGCAACACTGCACAAACAGCAGCACCCATTCTCCTATCGGCAGAGAGAGCCTCCAACAATCTCCCAATTCATTGGGCAGATGGAGAGGGGTTTTATGTGTGTGTGTGTGCGCGTGTGCCCACCTCCTTCAAAGCGTCACCACGTGTTCCTCCCTTAGCAACGGGAGGAGATGGCTTGGTACTGCAAGGTTAGAGTTTAGCAGGCTGGTTCCTGAGGGGGCATTGGCTGGGCTAGTGGCAGATCGGCAGCCTCTAAAATGAAATCTCTCTTTTAAAAGCACTCAGCTATTGAGCACTTTTTTTTTTTTTTGCGTCAGTTTAAAAATAGCATCCTGCAAAAATGAACCATCCTCACCCAGGGTAAGTGAGAAGGTTCCAGATACTCAAGTGTGTGCGAGACAGAGCAAGACAGGGAGAATGTGTTGTCTGTACTTTTGCTTGGTGGAGATGCTTTCAGGTAGCAATTGTGAGCCTGTTGTTTTTCTTTTCTTTTAATAAATTTAGCCACCTGGCATTTTTAACTGTTTTTATTTCTGTGCTCCAGAAAGCTGAGGCCTTTTCTCACCATTACTGACCCCCCCCCCCCCAAATATAGACATTTCAGTATAATTATATGACATAAGTCACTTCAGCAGCTATAGTCTCAGACAGTAGGAAGTAAACTTCAGTTAAAGAAGGGGAGGGGGGTGAAGAAAATATTTGGTGGAAAGATATAGACAGCAAAGGAATACGAGCAGGGCTAAACTCATTCATATTCTTAAGGAGCGAGGCAGTGGTTGGAACCATGGAGGGGTAATTTAATATTAAAAGCTGTATCCACACTATAGTTGTTATCCTTTGCCTTTTGGGTTACCCATTTGAATACAGTTTCGGCTGCACTTGCTACTTAACCATTGCAATCCTGTTGTGCAAGCAAAGACTAAAATCTACACTCCTTCAATGTGATGTTTTGAATACACTCTCCCTTAATTTAGGAATAAAAAGTGTGGGTAGGTAAGTAATCCTTGCAACTAATTCAGGTGCTTCCCCCTTCCCCTTCATCTTGCATTTACAGCCCTTTTGTAAACATTAATGGAGTTCAGTTAAAACTTGCTCCCAGTTTCTTCAGCTAGAAACAGAAAAACCTTTATGGTTTAATGTTCATATTGAGAGTTGCTGTGTTTTCTAATTAATTCTTTGGGAATTGTGAAATATAAGGAAAAGAACACAAGAAATATAATTAATTCACAGCTGAATATATTTCACTGAATTTGCCAGAGCTCCCACCTTTTTGGTGGATAGTAATCACACAGGGTATTTTTATTTCTTCATTTTTAAAATTCATTTATACCCAGCTTTTCTCCCCAATTGGAACCCAAAGTAGCTTACATCATTCTCCTCTCCCCCATTTTATCCTCACAACAGCCCTGTGAGGTAGGTTAGGCTGGATCTTCCAAATACTAGTCCGATGCTGTTAACCACTACACCACACTGGCTGTCAGGTATAACCCTGAAAAGGTTATTCTAAAAAAAAAAAAGGAGCTTTTCTTATTTTAACATCTATGTCTACTGAAAACAGTAAAATATGTAGTTTTATTTATTAAAGGCTAATGTATACATTGTGTTTTGGAATATGTTTCTGCATGGTAAGCTACCAAATGGAAATACATTTGCTATGGCTATTATGTTTAGAAAGGTTTCATAATTTCCAGAGTGCTCACATCTTCAGTTAATAATGGACATACCCTTAGGGAAGGGTGTGTCGCTCAGCGGCAGAGCATCTGCTTTGCTGGCAAAAAGTCCCAAGTTTAATTCTTGGCATATCCAGTTGAAAAAAGGACAAGGCAGTAATGTGAAGGACCACTGCTGAGACCCGGAGATATGCTGCCAGTCTGTGTAGACAATATTGGGCTTGATGGACCAATGGTCTGACTTGGTATTAGCTCCATCTGTTCATGTACCATATTGAGGGATAAGCAATATTTAATAAAAAATATACCTGTCTGATTTAATCTTGCAGTAACTAATGTGTACACATTCCTGGGTACTATCAATATGTAAAGAGGGACTATATGATAACAATCATATGACACAGTCTGTTACTACACAGTGCAGTGCTTTGTAGATGACTGATTAACTCGGTATCACATTCAGGGCTGATCTTTCTGATTCACTCAAAGTTTAATTCTTCCCTTAGAAAATTCCTGGTTTTGCTCTTAGGTTATGAAAATGTACTGATTTTGAGCAATGTTTGATGCTTTTAAGGTTTGAAATTTTTGGAAGTGCAATGTTCCCTCTAAGCTGTGGAGTCTTGTGAGCAAGAATTCTACCTTGTGAGCAACTGGCATTAAAGTTGTGAGCCAGTGATTTGGCTGCTGCATACATTAGTTTGCTCTGGGGCCCTCCTTCCTGAGCGGAGACAAAAATGTGTGAGCCAGAGGCTAAAAAACTGTGAGCTAGCTCACACTAACTCAGCTTAGAGGGAACACTGGTCTGGAGACTGGAGAAAAGGTACCAAAGGGTGTACATGACTGGAAACTAAAACATTAACCGATGGTTTAATGGCAAGTACTTCAGACATTAATGGCACGTTTTCAACCCCATAGAATCCTGTAGCATATTAATGACTAACATTAGTAGTGGCAACCCAGGATGGACAGGCCACAGCAGAGAACTCAGACAAAATGTGATCCACTGGAGAAGGAAATGGCAACCCACTCTAATATCTTTCCCAAGAAAACTCCATGGACAGTAACAAAAGGCTAAAAGATATGACACCAAAAGATGAGCCCCTCAGGTTGGAAGGTGTCCGATATGCTACTGGGGAAGAGCAGGGGGCAAGTACAAGTAACCCCAGAAAGAGTGAAGTGGCTGGGCCAAAGCCAAAAGGAAACTCAGTCGTGGATGTGCCTGATGGTGAAAGGAAAGCCCGCTGCTGCAAAGAACAATACTGTGTAGGAACCTGGAATGTAAGATCTATGAATCAAGGTAAGCTTGACGTGATCAAAAGTGAGATGGCAAGACTGTTTCGGTTTTGGCGACTCACGGATCGGACACGTCCATCTGCTCTGATGTGGACACGCCGAGTCACGGCGGACAGGAGGGGTCTTGGATGATTCCGTGACCCCCTGGAGCCCTTGTAGGGGGTCCCTGCCTGGGGTGCAGAGGGGTGCCTCTTCCAAGGTGACAGCCAAGGAATTGAGGCTCCCTCACCCCGAGAGGTCCTGCCGCCATGAAGCCATCATGGCGACTAGAGCGGGCTGCCAGATGAAGCAGGCAAGCGATTCAGTGTGAATATGCTCTTACTACAAGACAAGCACAATAAACTGTGAGTCAAGCAATCCCCTTTTAAGCTGCTGAGCCAAGAATGAGTGCAGCACTATAGTATGAGGAGAACTAGTGGGTGGATTCCCCCCATACGATATTAGTTCCTAGGCGTTAATTTGAAAGGAAAAGCGATACTGACCTGAGAGACTTTAGATAAGGTGAAAGGAGCAAAATAAGGCAAAGCGCATCCAAATAGAAGAACTTTCATTCTAATCTAAAAAAAATTGTTTTTGTGTAAACAATGTCCGGCAGAGGGAGAAAAATGGTGCTGGAAAAGAAACCTTCCACAGGAACTACCCAGACAACAACTGGTACCTGGATAATGGAAGCAGCCACTGATCTCTCCAGTATGCCGGCAATGGCATTCCGCCCTCTGCTGGAGCAGATGTCTAACATCAACAACAAACTTGACGGAGTTCAAAAGCAACTGATGGGAATTGACAAAAGAACAGCTGAGGCCAATAAAGCCATCAAGAAAGTTGAAGAAAAAACAAAGAATATTACACAGAAACTGGAAGAAGTGGAAAAAGAGCAAATTTCTGATAAAGGACAATTGCTACAACTTCAGACGGAGAGATCAATGTATGTTTTATGCTAAAGGAGAAAATCTAAAAGAAATATTAAGCGAAGCTTTAGCACCAGTGACAGAGCTTAAGCAGGATTTACTACAAAATGATATGGACTTGGTTTATCGAACCTTGGTTTATCGAACCTATCAAGAAAAATAAGCTGCCTGGTGAAATATTTGTGAAATTCTCCAAGAGATCTACTAGAGATGCAGTCTTAAAAGTGACATCTAGGAAAACCCTGAAAGTTAAAGACAAAGAAGTGAGAATTTTAAAGGATATTCCATTTGAGGTGCGGAAACAAAGATGGCAATACAAGGATTTAACTTTCTTTCTTCACAACAATTCAATCCCTTTCAGATGGATATTACCAGAAGGATTGATATTTAACTACACCAATAAGAAGACCAAGTTTGACTCTGCCCAGAAAGCCAAAGACTTTTTGGAACAACAACAAAACCCAATGAAAGATGAAAGAAAGAATAAAGACAACACCCAAGAATAAGATGAAAGCGACCATGAATCAGAGGACAGTTCAAGCAATTCTGAGGTTTCTGATTCAGAAAAAGGAGGAGCTGCGGCCAAGCTACTCAAAGTTAAACTGAAATACAAGAAAAATAAATGTGAAAAATAAACAAGAAGTTCAACAAAGTATAATGGACTATAATTCACATAAAGATTAGCATTAATGGCTCAAGCTAGCTTTATTAAGTACATAAGGCATTAAACACAATATTCATACTTATTTATATTGTAAGAACAATATATGAAGATGTAACCCTTGAAATATTACCCTCGCCTTAAATTGTAGCTTCTTCTTTTTAGTTATAGTTATTTCCCACTCCCTTTTCCTGTAGTTGTATAGTATATAAAAACAATAAAAATTATTTTTAAAAATGAGATGGCAAGACTGAACATTGACATCTTGGGAATCAGTGAACTAAAGTGGATGAAAATGGGCGAATTTAACTCAGATGACCATCATATCTAGTACTGTGGCCAACAATCTCATAGAAAAAATGGTGTGGCCTTTATAGTCAACAAGAGAGTGAAAAGCGGTTTATGGTGACATGCAGGCAGTCGTGTCTCCCGGATGTCCTGGGGATGCAAACGGCACACCAGCGTGTAGGAGGGGGTGCGACTGGTCGCGACCCCCCCCCGGAGCCTTGGCAAAAGGCTCCTAGCCAGGGGGCTTCTGAGGAGCAACCTCTTCGATGGCGCGATGCTGGAGAATTGAGGTGCTCCTCCGCCCCGAAGGTCCTGCCGCTGAGTGACCGCATGGTACTACTGCTGCTGACTGGGACAAGCATTGGAGATCGGGCGGAAAAAACCGATGCCGAGCGAGGCTGGTTGGCCAACGATGAACTGTGAGTCGGGTTGAAGCGAGCATGAAGATTTTTTTAAAAAGCTGCCCCCCTTAAAGTGCGATGGAAAGCGAGCGGGGGAGGGGCCCCTCCCATACGCACAAATGAAAACACAGAAATAAAG